AGATAATTTTAATCGCTCTTTCAAAGCTATGGACGAAAGCACAATAACGTACTTAAATTGCGATCATTCATGGTGTAAATAGCTTTATAAATAATACTTGACTTGGTATATTGTTGAGGGAATAGCTGAATTGGGACTCAAGAACAATTCAGGTAGATTCCAAATAGCGACCGTAGCTGTCAGAATCTAATTAATGCCAGACGGAGAGGAGTTAGAATTCTCCACCTTTTAATTAACTTTTATTATTAATAATCACATATCTATAATGTTATGGAATTAAAAGACTGCTTCAAAGCCACGTCTTGAGTTAAAACATTACGACATTTGACGGGCCTGTTGGTCTAGTGGTTAGTGACCCTCACTGCTAAACCGGAGGTCGTGGGTTCGATTCCCACACAGGACAAATATTGTGTGATGAGCACGGTCATTTGTTCTGTGTCTGGGTGTAACTTATCTATAATATGTATGTATTTAAAAATATATAAGTATGTTTATCAGCAGTCTGGTTACCATAGTACAGGCTCTGCCTAATTTGGGATCAGACGGCCGTGTGTGAGATGTGTGATATATATTATTATTATTATTCTTTGACAATTCAGCCCAGTGAGTTTATGTACGCTGAATCAAAAACCTTTTTTATCACCATAGTAACTTTACTTTTATAGCTTCTTAGAAGAAACAACCTTAGTTGTATGCTTTAAACACAAATAGAATGAGTTTACATGACAATTCTGCTAAAATGACTATTTAAGGTTTTGTTTTCAACCTACATGCATTATTTTGCTACTAGAATAGAAATAGTTTACCATTTGGCGTCCGGATGGCGTAGTGGTTTGTGTAACGGACTGCTATTCCAAAGGTCGCGGGTTCGATTCCTGCTCAAGTCAAACATTTGTATGCTTCATGCACTTAATGTTTGATTTGGTCTTGAGTGCAAGAACATTTAATATTTGATTTGATCTGGGTGTTTCTATGTATAATAAGTATCTATGTATTTATATCAGTTGTCTAGTACCCAAAGTACAAGCTCTGCTGAGTTTGGGAGTAGATAGCGTTGTGTGAATATGGTAGAATATTATTATTAGAGATGAGTAGTAAAATAAAGTGCTTAAAAAAAACCAAATAATTCAAAATCACAATCGTTTAATATACAAATCAATATACAATATTTGATATATATTTAATATACAATATTTAATCGTTTTATATATATTTTTTTTAGGTACCAATTTCATTCTTATTGTTTTCGGTATCAATTGGCACTAAGACCGTTCTTTTGTAGCTCACTCTTGCTTTACACTTCATTGCTAAGAATTAGCTTTACAGATACCTACAGATCTTTAGAGTTATGCAACCCTAAGTGGATAATTTATATGACTATAAACTGCAGTATTTATGAAATTATTTATTTTCGAACGCTATAAAGTCTAAAATCCATTTAACTGATCGTAGATAAATAAAAAATCTACGCCACCGAAACAGCCTAAATCACACTGCCTAATAACTTTATTAAATCAAATTGGACACTTGTGCAATCCGTGGCGTCACACCGAACTTCCTGTTGGAGGCCATCCGGCTGACATTACGTGCGTCCATTGTGAGGGGAGGCATCTTGTCCTCCGTTTTATTAGTTTGTCTTCTCTAAGGTGGTTGTCCTATTTTATAAGATACGATACGATGACGAAATACCTGTGACGACTTATTTGTGACACATTATACTTATAAATTGGTAAGTTATATGTGTGTTTAATGTCTTTGTGATTGTTTATGTGTGTATACATTATGGTACAAAATATACATAATATGTTAATATTATTGTTACTTACTGAATGGGCCCCTCTAGCGGGGAGACGCGGGTCAGAAGAGGGAAGTGTGAAAGAGACACAAGTAATGCGAAATGCTTAAATATTGTCCGTTGTCTCTTTCTGTCAAGCCAAGTTGTAGTATTGTGTATTTTGTGTCCGTTTATTACAAAAACTCCAAACCTCTGATTTTTGAGATGTGCCCCTATATTACTACGGGAGCGATATGTATAAGATGATACAGAAAATGAGATCATATTTAAGTTTCATATACTATATAACGTAACTAACGTGATTTAACAGATTTTGGAAAAAGAGTGGTTTTTATTACAAATATCTTTTTTTGAAACTGATAAAATGAACTTAAATATGAAAGGAAATTGCAAATAGAATTAAATCTTGACAACAAGTATGTAGTGGACTATTAAAGGCTGTTAATGATGGAATACAATCCAATTCACCAATCCAGAAATCCACTATTGAATTTGGTGACCACACACCATACCATACTATACTCCTACCGTTGCCTTCCTATCTTACCAACTCTTCTTTCTTATTGACTTACAATAATTTTCCCATCTAATTCTTAAAATACCCGGTCCTAAAGGCTTACCTCTTATTATGTGAATGGAAATAAAATGGTAAATCGACAAAATGTTCGCTTCTTATGTGCCTTTGCTTACTCCTTCGGGAACATATATAATTCCCAAGAACGCATACTAAACGGCAGCCACCACCCACAGGCAGCATATCCCTTATTCCGAGACCCTAAAAAGTCGTATAGTATAAATTTTTAATAAACTCACATCAGCTGTACCGTCTGGCACATTATAAAGGGACGGCCACTATTTAATGTTATTCCTTCCAAACTTCCACCTCCTATTTCCGCCCATATACGTACAAGATAAACTTACAATTACTGAAAGCCTGAAAGCTTTCATTAGTATTACATATATATTTACTTCATGTGGGGACAAACACAGAATATATCAATGTATAAATATTTATGCCAATTCAGTGTTCGTCTTTTTATCGCTTGGTTTTTATCCCCATGCGGCATTCTCGGTATAATTTTACGCACATAACACAATATAATTCATTTATACATTATGCATTTGCCAAAAATGGTTTGAATTGCTTCTAATATTTTACGTAAATTGGTTTATGATGCCCTGAAAATTAAGGTTGGTGTAAATCACAAGGATGTACCTGCTTTGTAGTAATGAGTTGGATTTAAGCAAACGTATCTGTGCATTTTAGAGGAAAAAGAAAGGTCTACACATGCCCGTATCCTTTACTCGTTAGCTAATCTTGAACGAATCTTTTCTTTTATTATATTGTTACGTTGATGGAATTTAGATTAGTGGGTATTTGGTTTATTGTGGTTACTTGGTATTTGATCACCAAAAGATTTCCCTCATAAGGGACTAAAGGGAATCACCAAAGGGGATTGAAAAATGAGCCGGTTACGGCGTATTCACCCCTTTCTTCCCTATTTGGAGTCTTTTTAACGTTTGCCAGCATGAGTTACGAATCGGCCGATAGTAAACAGATTCCACCACCATAGAATGAAACACAGAAGAAGTAAATTCTTTGACTTTAAGTTTCCCTCTCAATCATCGTCATTCCAGCTTCCCAGCATTTTTCAGAATTACATATATTTGAGATCGGAGCAATGTATAACGAATGATGATGATTATGATTTTAAAAAACAATTGCTCACCTGACATCCAAATGTAATTGTTTGAAGACAGCAGTGAAATACAAGAAGAAGGCCAAAGCTATAAAGAAAACGGATAGGGCAAGGAACCTCAGGTAAGGAATTCTGCAAGTCTCGAGTGAGAAACGGGACTAAGATTACAATAACTCGAATAGACTAAAGTTGCGTATTATATGTGCATCCTATGATTGAAAAGACCACTAGGGATCATCATCTTAGCCATAGTCGTTTAGGTTTACTACGCCATTTCAATAATTTCAAACACAACTCTAAGTATATTGCCAAAATTACAACAAGTTTATTGACATTTCATAGAACTTAGATGTTTTTTTGTAAATTTCAAGCAAGTTTTTTTTTAATTAGAATGTTTGTGATTGGGCTTCGGAAATCTCACTAAACCGATTAAGACGAAGAGAAATGAAGAAATTGTTCAACACCGGTTTTCTGTAAGGCCTTGCCATTACTACGATCGAGCCGGCCCATGTGAGATCAAGCATGGGTCTCCCTTGCCAAGATAGTTACTATGGTACCCTGAAAGAAGGAAAAAAGGAACGGTTCCCGTGGAACAGTAAAATAGCATTACCTAACGCAAGTAAAAGACGAGTGCAAAAGATTTTTAATAAAACTAGCAAGACTCAGCGTAGTTTCAGATATTGAATAACATCAGATAAACTGTGCTCTAATTGGTCAAATCAAATGGTGGGTACTTCTCCAGCTTCACACCTCATCCGTCCCTTATTAAGAAATCACTCCCGCATATTACAGGAAAGTGAAAGAATATATTATGTTACACATTTAAAAAGTAAAATACGTGATAATAGTAATTTTGGTACGTTCTGAAATATTCTCATTTTTTTTCATAAGTACCACACACCCTAGTGTCTCTAAGATATCTAAATTTAATTGTAATGATGTTTGGGTATAATTTATTTATATTGTCTGATGTTTACATGCAATAAACTGTATGTATTAATTACATCTTTTAAAATACATCATAAAAAGATTCTGCAGTGACGGATTATTTCACAACCCCTATTCATTTTTGCGTGTCGTAAGAGCCGACTAAGGGAGCAATATACGAAGTACATATCATTGCAAAGAGAAGGAAAACTTGACAAAAACCCGGTCCCAACTATTCTGGCCAGCGTGATATAGTAAGACAAAACCTCATTTCTAAAGAGGGGCCTATATCCTATTAAAGGCTGTTGATGATAATGATAAAATATTGAGATTTAACATTGAAAATTGCTTGTTATTCTGCTTCCATAAATTTAAAATAAAAGACAGACTAAGACTCAAACTAAGACTAAAGATAATTTCTTTAGCTTTAAACCAGTAAAAGTGGTATGCTAACATAACATATATGAGTATAATAACAGATATAGTACCAACAAAATCGTAGCCTAAAAGCGTTTCTCATACGGCCGCAAAACCGAAGTGGAATTGGGCGTGGTATGTTGTCGGATTCCAGATAATTTATGAGCCGAAATAACGATAGTATGCAGGTATTTGTAAGATTAAAGACCAAAGAACTATAAACGAGGCAAAAGTACACAAGAATATCAGAGATTTAAGACTGGCGTATTGTCACCTACAAATCATATTAATATAATACAAAAATTGCATGATTAGAAAACGTATAAACAATATGTCTCATAGTTTTAAGCAAACGAATGATATAGACTTATATAATAATTTTAATTAACCTTTGAATAAAGGTACCACAATCTGCAATGCGCCAAAGCCATAAAAAATTCAAATGAGTTGTATTCTTCACTCCTTAATCTTTACCGTAAAATGTGGAGTATTTTCTTTAAATTTAAATGATAAACCTGTTGGTTATATAAAAATTAAATAGTAATACGAATAGCTTGTAAATCCTATATCAAAACGAACTTTAAATCCTCAAGATAAGAGTGTTTTTTGCACTCTAAAGCCTGGCAACTCTTGAATTGCAGATGTCCTTGGGCGGCAATACTTACTAAGCATTAAAAATCCTTACCTTACCTAACTTGGATTTTAACCAATAAAATTCATTACATTTACAAAAGAAATATCATAATGGCATCCTAGCGTAGTGGTTTAAGCGGTCACCTCGCCACTTCCGACTGCGCTGAGTGTTGTGGTCTAGATCCCTACATAGGACCACACTGTGTGTGATCCACAAATTGTTGTTCTGAGTCCTGCTCCTCCTCTCCTTCTCTGGTTTTTCTGAATTTACTGTTCCAAGTATGAGAGTTCTTTATTCAAAAAATAAAATAAATAGGAATTCTCGCATAATTCCTGATGACTCCCAGTTAAAAGCGACGGGCAACATACCGTGTCAAGTTTTCTCTAAAAGCAAAAAATATGTACCCATTTAATAGATTTATAGCAAACAATTTGAAAGCACTATCATCTATGCTGTCGATCATTTTGGCCATTTGGGAGGACATTCATTTTTGTACAGATCTACACCATGGGAATAGGAATACAAACTGTAGTCAGCGTCACGTCGCCGTGATTTATGTGCGCGACGTGGACACATCTAGTGTCAAGTATTCAGAGCCACTGGCACTCCATTACGTATTTGGCTTGAGGATATCATACATCATGACGTGCTTAAGGATTCATGCAGTCTAATATACAATAGGGTCAGGCTACTTTAAGATTTATAGAAGATTTTAATATCTTCTTTATTATGCCTTTCAAGATTTTTTACAGTTTTATAAATTGGGAAACATATTTTTTGAGGACTTTCTTTTACACATCTCATGATCTGAAGTAAACCAAATCATTGTCAAGTATATAACACGTAAATATTGTAATAATAACGTTGGCTCGACCGATTCAGCTGCATCTTACTGCAGTATTAAGCGATCTATTTCACAGGATAGTTCTAATAGTACGCGGCACTCTTTTCTAGGTACTATTATTTCTTAAAATATTTCTAAAAGCATGTAACAATGTTGTTCTTTGTTGCATGTAACAATGTTATCTTCTGGATAGGTGTTTAAAAATAAGCATTTATTGGTTTAAATTCTACAAGATAAGATAATAAACGTATGTTTTAATTGTTCCAGGTAAATGGATCCTGGGGCCTCCCTGCTTTCGTGTGTGACGTGTACATTGCGATGGATGTCACCTCATCCACCTCAAGCATATTTAATCTCGTTGCCATCTCCGTTGATAGGTAAGTTCTTCAATTACTATGACAGCTAACTTTTTACTCTATAAACTAATAACACTCCACTTGGCTTCTGCCTTGGAAGTAGCTAAATTTTATTAAGTATTAGCCATGACCTCATCAATAGAACCACGAAGACTTGAACTCTGACTCTTCTGAAAATGATTCGTATCTATTGATACTTTTTTTTATTGAATAAATGCCGAGGAAGTCAAAGAAAGTGTACATTTAAGATTAAGAATACAGTGTCACCACCCCTATTCATCCCGTTGGTGTCGTAAGAGCCGACTAAGGGAGTAAACTACGCAGCACTACAACCCCTTTTTTTTTTTTTTTAACGTGTGGAAATCCCCTCGGACCGTCACCCCACCGGGGTTTGCGGCGGGGTGGTGTGTCGGACTCGAACCGACTAAAACCACACGGTGTGCCCTCTTTGCGCTTCCAGTTTAGGAGGGGTCCAGGTAGTTATCGCCTTCTGGACCCCTCCTAGCGCCGGCCCGCTCCTATTTCGGGCCCCGTCTCAAAATTTTCCTCTCTTTAGGCGACGTCCGGCACACGCGGACGCCGCCCCCTTGCGGCTGGCCAAACTAATGCGGGTGGAGGGGAAACCAGCACTTCAACCCCTATACCAACCCGTCTGGCCAGCGTGGTATAGTAGGCCAAAACCTATTTCTAAAAAAAGGCCTATGTCCAGCAGTGGACTATTAAAGGCTGGTGATGTGAAGAGAAATTTATTCACCTACACTTGAACGTACAGGTATATCCTAAAGGCTTGGTATAAATTACTCGAACAGTTACGAGGAGAGATCCAAAAGTTCGTGAAATGAAAGGGTTTTAAATAAAATGAAACAATAAATCTATTTTTCCTTTTTAATATAATCACCCTTAAGCTGTTATTAGATCTGTGAGCTGTGCATTTATTAGATCTATGAATTATTTTTTTCTAAAACATAGTAAAATCCATTTAGAGGATTCACAAGATGTTTCTTAATATTTACTTTTTCTCCAGGTACATTGCAGTAACACAGCCAATTAAATACGCGAAACACAAGAACAACCGGCGAGTCTGGTTCACCATAGTGTTGGTGTGGCTGATCTCAGCGGCGATCGGCGCGCCCATCGTCCTAGGCTTGAATGACACGCCAGACAGAAACTTTGACGAGTGCCTCTTCAATAGTCAAAACTACGTTATCTACTCGTCGCTCGGATCCTTCTACATACCCTGCATCATGATGATGTTCTTATATTATAATATTTTTAAGGTTAGTATCGGATCATGTAATTTACATATTGGTGCTAATTCTGATGTCCGAAAACTCTTCAAAACTAAAAATCACTAAAAATTTGTTTAGTCTCGCCAAATAACGGTTCGTATTCTGAAAACATAGTACTTGACAGTTCTAAACTAAATTTTAGTGATTTTTAGTTTAGTTTAGAGAGTTTTCGAACAACAGAATTAGCACCAATATCTATTATAATATCTGACATAATGGTATTCAGCTTTTGTGAAATACTACCACTAATTGCATAAATGCTGCTTTTTATTTTCTTTTTATTCTGACAGTTTTTATACATAGGTACCAAATTTTTAAAAGTTAATTAAATAAATACATTTAATAAATACACAGCAAGCGAATAAAAATCGAGAAAAATTGTCTGGTTTGTCGCTTTCAAATCGGCGCTTAGAGGACATAGAAGTCATTAAAATATCACTCGTTGAATGTTCCCATAATTTTCATGTTATGGGCGCTATTGGCGTTATAAATTTGAGTCCCCTATATTGCTGATTAAGATTACAATATTCTGAATGTTTTACATGGTATTTTTATAGTTAAGTAGCTGTACTCTGTCACGCTTCGCTATGGCACTTTGTGGTTGCATTCATGAGAAGTAAGGAACAAAACTGACGAGAAAAATAGATAAAAATAATCTTAAAAGCGGTTTGTATATCTTCTCAATATTTGAACTTAATCGGTGCAGAACTTTTTGAGTTTTTGAAGCGTACACAAATCAAAAAGAAGGAAAACTTGACACAAATCCTGTACCAACCCGTCTGGCCAGCGTGGTATAGTAGGCCAAAACCTCCTGTCTAAGGAGAGGCTTACGTCCAGCAGTGGACTATTAAAGGCTGTTGATGTGACACAAATCAACTTGATATTTTTATTTATATAAATTGTATTAAAATAAACCATCGGTGTTAGTACAAACAATCAATGAATATTATTTTTTAATATAAGTAAAATGGATTACTAAAGTTACTACATCAGTAAGCAGCATGAACTTTTTAAACTAATTCAAAATTTAGCCTCGGAATTCGTCATTTATATCGAAATTGAAACTAACTGCAAATAATTGGTTTGCAAATTGTTGTAACAGTTAACAGAACATTGACACAGATACCACACTGACATAAACAAGTAGAACTACTCAATTGCCTACAGTCTCCATTCAGATTACCAATAACTGGATTAGAATACCAGGATCGGTCACGTGGTAACATGGACAAGTGGCTACGTAGATTGTTTGTACGGCTTAAGCATTATACCGACTAATGGAGTAAGTTTAGTCCAGAGGTATTGATTTAGTACTTGCCTGTGCAAGAGGAGATATGCTAATATTTATTGAGAGCTTTAGTATTGAGATGTTATTAGTTAATAGCTTTCATATTATCTATACAAATAAATAAAATTGGAGTGTCTGTTTGCAATATTAAAATAACCGCTTTTTACTAAATGCAAATGTATGTTTACACGGTACATATGCCAAAATAACATTTTTTACAATTTTTGTCTGTCTGTCTGTTTGTTCCGAGTAATCTCTGAAACAGCTGGACCGATTTCGACGGGACTTTCACTGGCAGATAGCTGATGACATAAGGAGTAACTTAGGCTACTTTTTGACGTGACAACGTCTTATAATTCGATGGAGCCGGCTGCACGCACGAAAAAACATGACTCATGCGGCGTTACCTCGCTCTGAGGCGTTCCATTTAAGGCTTGAAGTGCAAGCGAGAACGCGCAACGAGCGACAAAGAGGCACAATCGGCCTCCGCCTTCGGCAGCGTTTGACATCTCTCTCTCTCCTACTTGAGTGAGCGATGCGTCCGCGTGGACAGCTGCTATACAATAATACATTTACATGTTTTCGTAAAATGCAACCATTCCATCAGTATTTTCTTATGACGTTGTCACGTTCAACTATCGTCAGTAAACCGACTTTACAGACAACCGATTTTTTTAGACTAGCTTCGCCCCGCGGCGTTGCCTGCGGATATAACAACAAACGCGGGTAACACCGCGGGTCTCAGCTTGTACAGAAATAAATTGCGACCATTATAACAAATTATAGAAGAGTGGGAAGTTCTATATATTCAGTTCAGCAGATCTTTTTTATTAGAAGTATGCCTGAGGGTTAGTCCTATATTAGTTTAATAAAAATCTTCTTTAAGATTTAGAAAAAATGTGAATAAATTTGTAAAGAAATAATTTTAGATTCATCGATTGTAATTTAAATGGTTGTAAGGGACATAATTTGGCTTCGTAGTTTTCAGTGACTGTGATTTCATAAACATGCTAGTGTTATTTGTTTTTACGTCTTTCAGTCGCGATAATCTTCAGATTGCTTTTAAGTACAACTCTTAATTTTTAAGACTCTTAAAAATTGATATCCAAAGACTATCAAGATTTTAAAAATAATGTTTCGAACATCGTTCAGTTTTAAAAATTGTATACAAATGTATACAGTGACGCAGTGCAAGTTAAAAATTTTAGTTGAAAAATGTTGTATCTAGTGCCAATGTTGTACCTGGTACTTGGAAAGTGGGTATCATAATTTTACTTGTTCAAAAATAGGTCAAGTGTCAAATAGTTTGTATTTTATGGCTAAGTATCTGGGGTTGATGCATTTTAACTGTAGAGAAATATTTTGTATTGGACATTTTCTTTTTGAACACCCCAAAGAATATCAGATTACAAATAAAATGTTGTTTTAAGAGTTTTATTTGTTACTGAATTGAAGTAAATACTTATGTGTGAAGAAACTCCAATAAAACACTTATTATTATTGCTGGACAATTTACTTTTACTTTTGCTACAAAAATCATCAAAATATTATATCTTCTATAATACATTAGAAGCATCTTGATTTTAATGTAATGTTAATTTCTAACTTCCTTACCATCAGGCTTTAAGAAAGCGTGCGAAAAAACAAAGAGCAGCCAAGAAGCCTCCAGTGTCTGGGGACCCAACAACTGGTGCTACTACAGCCATAGTTATAGAAAATGTGGCTCAAACCAGAAGACTGGCAGAAACAGCACTTCATGATGATAGACCTACAAATACTGGGTCTGGGAGTAATGAAGAGGATCATGAAGATAGGTAAGTGAAAGATTAACAGAGTAATTCACTGACTTGCGACCCTGATTTTCCCCTCCAGAACTTTAAAAGTTATTAGTTAAACTTAACTAAGCTACATTATTTTTGCGAAAGCATTAAAGCCTTTTACATCCCTTCTCATCGTGTGTCTTGTCATCTTGTCATCGTATGTCATCTACATGAAAAATCTGTTACTGAGATAATTTTACCTGGTATATAAAATATGATTAGTATTTAGTTTCGTATATCAGTTGAACCTACTTATACAAAAAGGCACCAATCCACACACATGCAAAAATCGAGTTAAGTATGCAGAAACCTTTCAAAATTTACTTTCTATCAACCCTGTAAGAGTCAAAATAATCCAACAACTTTGACTGTACAAAACATGTTCATGACAAGTTTACCTACCCACATTAAACCAATAGTTCAATAAACTAGCAAGATCCATGTGCCCTGATAACTGGACCATCTAAAAGTTTGGGAATTTTTCTTTTTTTAAAAGCATGCCACATGGTTTCATGTATTTATTTTAAACTTTAGACTTCAATAGATTTCATGCGGGTTGGTTCTTTATTTTAAAACACTTTATTTAGACTTTATTTTAAAGGACTTGGTTCGTTGTTAAAATTATTCTATTTACAACATCTAAGGTATGCCATATGCCATATTTCCCATATGTTTTATCGAAACCTCTTTGGCCAACAGGGAAACCTGTCCCTGAAGGGAGTCCCTTATAAAGTAGACTATACCTTATTTCGCAAGATTCACATGATTTTTATGTAAAACTTGTCAGAAGTGCAGACATAGAGAATAATCTAGAACGTTTTTTCGGGTCAACCTGATTTTGAAGTCGAGTGAAATTTGGACTAAGTGAGTTTATACCCGTCTGGCCAGCGTGGTATAGTAGGCCAAAACCTCCTTTCTAAGGAGAGGCCTATGTCCAGCAGTGGACTAGTATAGGCTGTTGATAATGAGTTTTGGTATTTCAATAAATATTTTTGTCGACAAACTGTGTAAGTAATTGGAAAGATTAAAATGTTATATTTTTCAATAAAATATGTATTAAAATGAAGTTTTTTTCATTATTTTTACTGTTAAAATTATGCTGAGGTAGTAAATTAAAAAGGGACCAACCGACACATATTTAGTTTTGCTAAAAGGAACCATTAAGTTTTTTTTTTTTTTTAAAGACAACTCCCGCATTAGGAATATATCCTGTGTCGCGGGGGACTTTACAAACATACATGAAACGGACACAAAGAACACCCAGACTCAGAACAACAATTTATGGATCACACAAAGTGTCGTCCCATGTGGGGATCGGACCCACAACACTCGGCGTAGTAATAAGCGGCGTGCCGACCGCTTAAACCACTACGCCATCCGTGCAGTCCTAGTTTTATCTTTAATTACTAGAGGCCTATGTCCAGCAGTGGACTGCGATAGGCTGATGATGACTACAGAATGCTACATTATTTTCATTAATATTAAAGTCTAAAATGAAAAGTCATTATATACAGAAAATAGTACTTTATAAAATATTACAAACAAATTTTTGCCAAAATAACACATTTTTTTTAATACACAAAATTTAGACAAATACGGCTTTTCTCAAAACGTTTAGGGTGTGGGTTGATTCCGTTTTGCATAAGTAAGTCCCGTTGTTTTTACTATAAACCACAACATATATACTTATTATACATATATATGTATGTTAACAAATTTCTTAACATTGCCATCTGTCTCAGAAACCTGCATTGGTTTCATTATTTCCATTTGTAATAAACCAGAATATTTTATCAAGTCAAGTTTTACCCACGAGTTTCATATTAAAAAAAAAATATAGATCTCATTTCAACAACCATCCTTTTCATTTTCATAAGTGCTTATACGGATTCCGCTTTACATCCCAAATATTAGGCTAATATTTTAGTGTACCAGTTTAGTTCAAATAATGCAACTCTACTGTTACAAATAAAGTTGCCACAAATACAAACTTGAATGTCTGAATAACTCAAGATAAACGTGATGATATTAGCTTAAATTGCTTACGACACACATCGAGAGCGTCGAATACATGTTAAGGCAAATTTAGTAAGAATTGTTATTGTTGCAATGACGGGCAAATAAATTTCTATAAGTTATTTCTGTTGAATAATTGTGTGATGAGCACGATGATTTGTTCTGTGTCTGGGTGTAATTTATCTAAGTGTAATATGTATGTACTTACAAATAAAAAGGTATGTTTATCAGCAGTCTGGTTACCATAGTACAGGCTCTGACTAGTTTGGAATCAGACCGCCGTGTGTGAGATGTGTGAAGTTATTATTATTCTCTTTATTACAATATATACACATATTAATTACATTTTTAAATGTATTACAGAAGAAGAAAAAAACATTTAAAAATATAAAAAGTAGTAGACCACCGACATCAGGTACAGGGACCAAGACACCGGTGGTTAGGACTCCAAAGACAGGAACCTTCTCACTCAAATTTAGTGATAAAATAATTTAAAATAAAAATTACAAAATAGTAATAACATAATACTTTGGTCCCACTACACAACAAGGTGCGAAGCCTATTGTCGTTAACGGTGCACTTTGGGATGGGAAAATTAGGAGTATACCAAAAGTGAATTGTATGTAGGTAAGAAGATAATACAATGGAAGAACAGGAATTAATTTCTTATACGGATGAATTGGTGAGAACGAACACTAGTTCACTGGTAGGTTACAGTATTCCTGTGATTCAAACCAGCTGCTGTCGGGATATCCTAGCCTTCTGACAAAATCCAGAACAAGATACAGAACACAGTTGCAAAACATGTATCTTTTACATAATGCGCGGCCATACCAATCATTCGATTATGATAAAATTTTGCATACAGATTGCTAAAGATACAAAGAAGAACATAGCGTTACCTTTCATCCAGAACAGATTTCTGTTAAGGAAAAAATACTTTTACGTGAACGAATTCAGAAACAAAACCTATTGGAAATACCGAGACTAATGAAAAGCGTAGGTCTACTTAGCGACTGTTTCAAAATATTGGCACTGAGCGTTAATCGAAATCACGAATCTCGACGCTGTATTAAAATACTTCCATTTCATTTGTTGATTGTTCAATTTAATTGATTCTATTAACAAACTTTATGACATTCAGAATTTTACAAGCTCGTATGTGTATGTATAAAAATACTAATATTACATTAAATGCTGTATGAAACAATAATAATATACATAAATATTTGTTTCACTGTGAATATTAACCATTTCAATTAAACAATATTTATGTAATTAAATGGGCGTAAACAATCCGTAATTAATTTTCTGTTGGTCCATAATTATCACTATGAATAGAGCACGCTGTCTAACCAAACTAAAAGTATTTTGACTTCATTATTCTGAGACGAAACTAATTAGTTTCGTCTGAGTTCGTGTCATAAACAAAAATGTTATAACCCAGAAAATATAACTATTCTCAGAGAAATGCTTGCAAAATATATGTAGTTTCATTAACTTTCTTCGTGCTATTGCAAACATTTAACCACCTATACTCATATAAGATTAACTTTTCTTTTTTCCTAGTCACAACCGAACAGTTTATATGAATCATGTAAAGCAAAACACTCTTCACATTGTCTAATATTAAAGCTTTTTTGTTAATCAAGTTTTATCTTCATAGTTTACAGGCGTATGCACAAATTCACATTTAGTTTTATGATGACCGTGTGATGACGGATTAAGAAAGAACACAGAGTGTCACCACCCCTATTCATGCCGTGGGTCTCGTAGAGGCGACTAAGGGAGCGAAATACGCAGGACAAAAGCACTGCAGAGAGAAGAAAAACTTGACACAAACCCTTTTTTTTTTTTTTTTTTTTTAAGGTGTGGAAATCCCCTCGGACCGTCACCCCTCCGGGGTTTGCGGCGGGGTGGTGTGTCGGACTCGGACCGGCTAAAACCACACGGTGTGCCACTCTGCGCCTGTAACAGGAGGGATCCGGGAACAGCTGTTGTTAAGACATCCGGACTCAATATATCCGGTCTCAATATTTTTCCTCTCTTTAGGCGACGTCCGGCACACGCGGACGTCGCCCCCCTCGCGGCTGGCCAAACTAATGCGGGTGGAGGGGAAACCCACCCCGTCCACCCGCGGCCACACTCAGGGCGGCATGAGGCGGTGATAGGCGGGCCTCCGCCGCCCGGTTCGCCGGCGGCGGATCGGGTCCGAGTGGAGGTCGTCCTCCCGGGCCCTCTCCGCCGCCTCCTTCCGCAAGATAACTACCTCGCAGGTAAGGTAAAACAACTGTCGCTACCGGCCATGGAGCGTACTACGGCCGGTAGCGAGAGATCCACTCCGATGACTGCAGTGAGGGCCCGGCGCTGCGCCGCCCATGTGGGGCAGACCGCCAGCGTGTGCTGGGCCGAGTCCTCACTGCAGTCGCAGTGGTGGCAGGCGGGACTCAGTTCCCTCCTAGCGACCGAGTGCAGGTACTTTCCGAAGCAACCGTGCCCGGAAAGCACCTGCGTCAGCCGGAAGGAAAGGGTCCCGTGCTGCCGCCCTGCCCACTCGGCGATGACCGGCTGGAGAGCCTCCACGGCGGCGAAGCCAGCGCGTGGAGTCTCCAGCCGGAACGACCAACGAGCCATCGTGGCTCGGCGAGCGGCTTCGCGCCACTCGCGCACATCCTCGGGCGGAGGGCGAAATCCGCTCTCCGCCCGGGAGTCAGCCACTCGCCGATAAACTTCGGCGAGCACTTCCGCCTCCAAATCCCACGGTGGAGTTCCGGCCAACGCGCATGCCACCTCCGTCGAAACGGTGCGGTAACCGCGTATGGCTCTGACCGCCATTACCCTCTGAGGGCGCAAGAGGCGTGCCCTATTCTGGGCGGTCAGAGCCGCCGCCCACACCGGTGCACCGTACAGTGCCATTGACCGGACAACCCCTGTGTACAGCCGTCTTGTCGCGACGCTGGGTCCACCCATATTGGGCAAAAGTCGGCCTAGGGCAGACGCAGCGCCGACCAGCTTTGGAGCAAGCTGTCAGAAGTGCTCGTCGAAGAGCCACCTCCCGTCGAGGATCAGGCCCAGATATTTCATCTGGGCCCGAACCGGTACGAGGACCGAGTTGACCACGATTGAGGCGCCAGGGGGTGGACCACGACGGGGCCCATGAAATAACAGGGCCTCCGTCTTATCTAGGGCCACCCGTAAGCCCAGCGCCTCAATGCGCCCGACCACCAGGGAGACTCCTTCTGTGGCGAGGCGCGCCGCCTCTCGGAAGTTTGCCCCCCGGGCTGTCACCAGGGTATCGTCTGCGTAACAGATTACACCCAGCCCGGGGGGGAAATCGGCGCGAAGGGCCCAGTCGTACCCTATGTTCAACAAGAGGGGTCCAAGAACAGACCCCTGTGGAACACCGCACGACATGGGCCGACACCTCAAATTACCTTCTCGGTCCTCGTACACGACGGTACGCTCCTCTAAATAGTCTGCCACTAGCCGCCTCAGGTACTTTGGCACCCCATGATAGTGGAGTGCTTCCCTGATGCAGCTGAATGGCAGACTATTGATTGCGTTGGCGATGTCTAATGACACCGCCAACAGCACGCCGCCACAGCTCACGGCCTCTTCGGTCACGGCCCTCAGGCGCAACACGGCGTCGACTGTCGAACGCCCCGCCCGAAAACCAAATTGGGCGTCCGACAGATCGGGGCCCACCTCGCAGAGGTGCCGGACGATGCGGGCAGAAAGAACCCTCTCAAACAATTTACCCGCCTCGTTCAGCAGCACGATGGGCCTATAGGCCGCGACCGAATCGGCAGGCCGTCCCGGCTTCCTTAATAGGACCAGCTTCCCGCTCTTCCAGCACTCAGGGAAGCGTCCCGACGCCAAGCTAGCGTCGAACACCTCCCCGAGGCGGTCTGCCATGTGGTTGAGGGCCAGGGCCAGCACTCGGGCCGGTACCCCGTCTGGCCCAGGGGCGGTGTTCTTGGAACGGATCCGTAGAACAGCCGCCCCTACCTCCGACACAAACCATTTTTTTTTTTTTATTTTTTTTTTTTACTTGTGGAAATCCCCTCGGACCGTCACCCCGCCGGGGCTCTCAGGGAAGTCAGCCACTCGCCGATAAACTTCGGCGAGCACTTCCGCCTCCAAATCCCACGGGGGTGTTCCGGCCAAGGCGCAAGCCGCCTCGGTGGACACCGTGCGGTATCCGCGTATGGCTCTGACCGCCAATATCGTCTGGGGGCGCCAGAGGCGCGCCCTATTTTGGGCGGTCAGAGCCGCCACCCACACCGGTGCACCATAAAGCGCCATGGACCGGACAACCCCCGCGTACAGCCGCCTCGTGGGAACACTGGCCCCGCCCAAATTGGGCAAAAGTCGCCCTAGGGCGGAGGCAGTGTCCACCAGCTTCGGACCAAGCTGTCGGGCCGACACAAACCCTATACCAACCCGTCTGGCCAGCGTGGTATTGTATGCCAAAACCTCCTTTCTAAGGCGAGGCCTATGTCCAGCAGTGGACTGTTAAAGGCTGTTGATGATGACTTTTTGAGTTCGGTTTTAACTATTCTTCTATTTAATACAAATATTTATATGAAGGAATAACTCTTTTCCCGTCCGTTATTGTCTTTTATGTGTATGTATGTTTATATATTAGGGAAAATATGTTTAAAAATAAGCTGAGTAGTTTTTATAGTTTAGAGCCCCAACTTCAAGCTTTAGTTTATGTGGAGCTAAATAGCTCTGTGTAATAAAACCTACCCAGCCGTCTGGCCAGCGTGGTATAGTAGGCCGAAACCACCTTCCGCGAGGAGGCGATGTCCGCGTGTGCCGGACGACGCCTAAATGGAGAATGTACCCGAAGATGGTGCCCGCGCTGTTGCGGGCAGCCGCTAGGAGGGGTTCGGATGTCTTAATTATAGCTGTTCGTGGATTGCTCCTATTACGGGCGCAGAGTGGCACACCGTGTGGTCTTAGTCGGTCCGATTCCGACTCACCACCCCGCCGCAAACAAAAAACACGTAAATAAACAGAGCCATTACAAACTTTTTTATTTTAAATGACCAGTACTGATGAAAGGCAATTTCATAGGTTATAGACCTAATAGATGCTAGTTTAGACTGAATAATCAGGCACATCTTATTTTATTTTTGTTTTGTACAGTTTCGACAAGAGATCAGCAGATCTAGAAGCTGATGCTGATGAGTGCCACGTCATTCCTAACGACAAATCTACAGAATTTATGCTAGCCACTGTTGCTGAGGAAATAACCATGTAAGTATCATATACATTAACTCAATTCCCTCCATGTTCTGACCAAAATTACTATTTATAACTTAACTTACTCCTTCCTAAAAGTCCGGCAACGCGTTAGTGACTCCTGACTTGCAGACATTCATGGGCGGTGATGGTCACTTTCCGTCAGGTGACCCGTCTGCCCCCTCTAACATAAAAAAAATTAGAAGAGATGAACTACTAGTAATAACTTTTAAACTATTCCGTTCCATATCTTTAGAGAAATCATGATCTCAATAGGTATTAACCCACGCGTTCACGATAGATCTTAATAAAAGTACTTATTAATATAATGAATTACTAGTGGTACAAGAATTTTGGGACTCCGCCCAGCATACGCTGGAAGACTGCCCGGCATGGGCGTCTGAACGCGAGGTCCTAGTCGACCAACTCCTCACGGCCTCACGGCCGTCGGGGTGATTTTTAGTGGAAACACCACATACTCCTGGCTCCTACATCCCCACGGAGCCGGAGGTCCGAAGGGATTTTCCACCCCGTCAACAAAAAAAAGACGTGGTACAAGAATTATGTCAAATTAAAATATCGTGGCATGATTTTAAATAAAAAAATGATCGATGACATCTAAAAGAACTAACTAAATCATTCATTAAATATAAATAGTATCAGTTCTAATATTAAAAAAATATATAAAAGGTTATTTATAGTAAATACATGACCTTTTAACTGTCCAAATCTGCGCCCGACATTTTTCACAATAACTGGATAAAGAAAACACTGATCAACTCATCACTCAAGCCTTCAGTTGCTATTGTTTGATGTTATCTCAAAATATCAACAGATTCAAAAGGATTTTCGATTCAAAGGAGTTTACCTGTTTCATGTTGATTCCATATTTATTAATGTTATTTATATTCTTCGCAAAATTATATTTGAAGATAAACATATTTTTAGCTTTCATTTATTTGGACGATCGTGGACAGAATAATTCGACAAGCTAAATTGAAATCGTTTCAATTTTGTTTACGGGATTCCGGATAAAATTTAAAAGTGAATTATGGTAAAGCCAACAGTATTATACAGTAAATAATAATAGGTCTTTACCTATGAAATTTCCGTTTTGTATGCAATAAGTGAAAGTACTTATTTTTTTAAACTTTTTTATTTCTGTTATTCGAAGTAATCACCCATGCAATCGACGCATCTTTGTCAACGCATTGGCAGTTTATTGATGCCCTTCTTGTAAGTAATCAGTAAAGTAGTAAACAGTAGTCCAAAGTTAATTATCGTTGCGGGTGCAAAAAATCTACCTATAATATGGCAATAACCGATTTTCTAAGATAATGCAAAACATATAACAACGTGTGAAACCTTCTAAATTAAAAGTTAAAATCAATCACCTGATAGGGCTATAAAAGTATTCATGTGTTTTGAGCCATCACGTGTAAACCGCACCAATTGTGTCACTCACCGCTTTCCCTCCAATTATAAGTTAAATAAATCCAATTCACTAATCCACAATTCTTGACTTAAGACATCAAGTACACAGGCATTTCCTAAATAGCTACTTGTTCTGGCCGGTAGAAAGAGACTTTGCAAGATAATCGGTGTCACTAATACTTTGATAAAATGTTTTTGAAATAGATCAATCTATAATATGTATATATATGTAAATACTCTTCAAGAGAAGACGACAACACGGATGACGTTGTAGTTAAAGCTTTTTTGTTCTTTGTGTCTTTTTCATGAATGTTTATGAAGTCCCCAGCGACACGGTGTAGTATTCCTAGTACGGGACTTGTCATTTAGAATAAAAAAAAGGAGATTCGAAGTGTCGATATCCTTAAGAGTAATTCGGAATCATAACACAATGATAAAGAAATCATTTTCAAGGTTTCCATTTATTGCAAGAATATATCCTTTAGCCCTCCTTTTAAATTAGCTAACAGAGTACAGTTATAGTTTAGCACGTAACTTAAATGTTTGTTTAATAGCTATGCTTTAAAAAGGATTTTATAAACTCATTTTGAAAATCGTTTCTGATATCAAATTCAACAAAATTATAGTGACAGTAACAGAACATCTATCAAAGCCTGCAAAAATTGGTTGAACAAATTTTTGTAAAATAAAATATCAATATTGTTAATTTCGAAAAGAAGTTACGAAGTTAAGACGAAAGTCTTTAATGAGTGCGTCCTACCCGTCATGACATACGGAGCTGAAACGTGGACACTTACGGTACGGCTGGTCCACTAGTTCAAAGTCGCTCAACGTGCTATGGAAAGGGCTATGCTCGGCGTTTCTCTAAGGGATCGCATCAGAAATGAGGTGATCCGGCAGAGAACCAAGGTCACCGACATAGCGTACCGGATCAGTAAGCTGAAGTGGCAGTGGGCTGGCCACATTAGCCGCAGAACCGATAACCGTTGGGGAAAACGAGTTCTTGAGTGGAGACCGCGTCTCGGCAAACGTAGTGTAGGACGCCCACAGGCCAGGTGGAGTGACGATTTGCGCAAGATGGCTGGCAGGAGCCCAAAATCGATCTAAGTGACGTGCAATGGGAGAGGCCTATGTCCAGCAGTGGACTGCGATAGGCTGATGATGATGATGATGATTGTTAATTTCTGTGAAGTTTATCATGTTCGTAGTTTGCTCCCTAAGTCGGCTCTTACGATACCCACGCAATGAATAGGGGTGGTGACAGTCCGTATTCTTAATCCGTCACCAAACGGACTAAGAGAGCAAACTACGCAGGACAACAGCACTGCAACGATAAGGAAAACTTGAAACAAACCCTATATCGACCCGTCTGGCCAGCGTGGTATAGTAGGCCGAAACCTACTTTCTAAGAAGAGGCCTATGTCCAGTAGGGGACTGTTATAGGCTGTTGATGATGTTGATGATTATCACGTTCATGAAGAGACAAATAATGTTGATTGGGTTTATTTACATGTGAAATATTGTTTTGTGGTTTAAAAGGGTTTCACGTGATTCTCTGAAACTTACTTGAGTAATAGTCGAGCCATTTGTCTTGTCTATGTTATTAAGTATAGTTACTGGTTTAAACTATAAATATTTGTTTCTGCTACCTAATATTTTAAAGAAGTAAAATAATAGATATCAATGATAAATCTGTGTGGTAATTTCATGTTTTCTTATTAATATTATTTTTGAATTCATATTTCTGACTTAGTGACAACAAGCAATAAAAAAACAGTGGCACTCCGGGAATGCCGACAAAAGTGAAATTTTTTAACAAATATGTGTGTTTTTTTCGATTCAAAAGGTTTCGACATGAATATATATATCTGTGTTGTACGTATATACACAATATATGTTTATATTATTAATGTATTTCAACCCAAATTAAACTTTCGTGTAAACTGGGTCCATATATGTAGATACTTATATACTAAGGTGTCGGTAACGGTAACAGTGTCAAGGATTCAATGGTTTATTTTCCATCTCAAAAATACATTCTTTAATTTGTTGTTCAAAAACGCCCAACTCTCTAAAGAAGTTTTCACTTCAAAAATCACAAAAGTTGTAGGACCTATTTCCTCTTGCCTCATACTTGCATTATTAATGATCTACATTTCAAATACAGAACACCAAAAAGAAACATCAACCAATCCGTTCCTGACCCAAATGGGAACAACGATTCAGGGTATGCGCCTTCTAACCTTGAAGATACCATCAGAGAACATGTCTCTCCGCCTGGATCACCTGGATTAAAAGACGCAACAGTATTAAAGAACATGGCCTTTGATAATAGCAAGTGGAAGAAGAATGGCAAGTCAAAAACGGATTCCAGGTATCACTATTTTATAGACTAAAACGTTCTTTTTAGGATATTTTAAACTTAATCTAGCTAATCCTTACTTCGCCTGCTCCTAAATTCTCATTAAAACGTGAGACTAAATTCCCGTCCTCAGAATCCTATAAAAAAGTGATCTTTTACCTAATTAACTGCATCTTTTACCTAATTAACTTTATTTAACTGCGTGCAATTTAAAGTTTATCAGTGTGATTTAATATTTTTCATCTAAAATAAGTGGTATTTGTAACTGTTGCTTTCATTTTTAAAATCTAACAGATTTTATTTTGCTTTAGTATAGGGTATTTCAGTATTAAAAGATCAAATCAAACATTAAACGGGAACTAGTGGCGCACGCGTGCCGTCTGGGAGGGTTCTTTATGTATCCACATTTTTTTAATATTTCGTTTACCATGTAACATGATAATAATATACTCTTTTATTGTTTTCAAATTCCAGTTCCAGTTCCAAAAATCAACAAGATAATACATCTTGTTGATTTTTTATTAATTTAATTATAAAAATATATGATTCACTGACATGGAAAGGGTAACATACTCCACTTTTTTTTCACTGTTGACTAATTTTTTATTAATTTATTACAGAAATGTTTCCTTGCAAATCCGTTCAGAAGATGACCAAGTTACAGGCAGTTCGTTTGACCTTAGAGACGGGTCTAGCTCAAAGAAAGAGAGAAAAGCAAGTGCAGCCACCGCGCGCTTTACAATATACAAAGCAAATAAAGCAAGTAAGAAGAAGAGAGAAAAGTTTAGTGCAAAAAAGGAAAGGAAGGCAACCAAAACATTAGCTATAGTTTTAGGTGGGTTTAATGTAAATGTATTAAAAAAAATGAATACAAATTGACTAAAACGCTCTTTTAGGTTAATGTAAAATTCATTAAGAAATTAAAGTGCAGTAGTGTTATAGGCATTTAGGTTACTTGACACATTATAAACATATCACTTAAAAATTAATAAAGAAATTAAGTTGTATCAAAATTAAAAGAAACACAAGGTATGTGGGTATGTAAGTAGCCTCACTGAGCTGAGGTTATACCTTACTAATGAGCAGCTTAACTTATAAGAAACCAAAGTAATCCCCACATCCAGAGTACAGAAGTTTCAGAAAACTTTGTCTGCAAAACAACAACATACCGTCTTGGTCTTATTTGTTAACTTTAAAGTAAACAAGAACCTTAATACTCCGACTCAAACAAGTAAGATAGAATGTGTTTCTTATACATTAATATACATCTCTTTTCCAGGTGTTTTCCTATTCTGCTGGGCCCCATTCTTCACGTGCTCTGTCCTTGGAGCCATCTGTGACAAGATCGGCCTCTCCTTTGATCCAGGAGTGACGGTATTTATCCTCACGACGTGGTTGGGTTACATCAACTCGTTCCTCAATCCTGTTATTTACACCATCTTCAACCCCGAGTTCCGGAAGGCCTTTAGAAAAATACTCCACTGCGGCACCTAGCCCGTGGATTATTTGGTCGTCTTCACCCAGTAGATCTCGCTGTTTTTATTTTGGATACATTTTTATCATACATATTGTTATAGCAATTTTTGGAGCACGCACGAACAAAGAAATAAGACTAGTGCTAATTTTGAATTGAATTTTGGTACGAGTTAATACGGAGAATTATTTCTCCGTGTGGTAATATCCGTGTAAGAATACGGAGGGTCACCATCCCTATTCATCTGGTGGGTGTCGTAAGATGCTAAGGGAGAAAATTACGCAGGAGAACAGCAAATAGAAGGAAAACTTAAGACAAACCCGTCTGCCCAACGTGGTATAGAAGGCAAAACCTCCTTTCTAAGGAGAAACCTTCGCCCAGCGGTGGACTGTGAAAGGCAGACTATGTGTTCTGGATTATAGACTCGCTGAGTATATCCTAATACGTCAGAGAAATAATATGTATGACAAAAATCTGCAACGAATTATATGTTTTTTTTAAACTTCCAAGAGATCTACTTGACGGCCAAATTGTGAAAGACTCAAACTGCTTATATTTAATGTGATAAATCAATAATTAAATGTCGTGTATTAGTCTTAGACACATAGCATATCAAATTTACTTAAGAATTGTAACTAACTTTAACTTAGTGTAAAAATGGCTTTGTATAGCTTGCTTCTAGCCTCAATATTCTAGTCATCAGTATTATATGCCAAAGAATTTAGAAGCCATATTTCTAAGCTTTAGTTATTTTTAAGGTTGTGATTATTTTTTAATTTTCAATTGATCATTCAAGTTTTTTCTTTCGACTGTACAATGTATGTACATAATGCATGAATGTACATTCAATTATAAAAGTATTAGTTGTAAATTGTAAATTTTAGCACAAAGACGCTGTAGTGAAATAGTTAAGTTTATATAAAATAACAATTTCTTTACGGCTGTTAGTACATTAAATACAATGGTATCTTACTGTACAGATCTTCCTATCTTTATTAATTCCCATACAAAAAAATAATCTAAAAATTTATATTGTATATAGGTATTAAACTTCGTAATATAGGAAGCTAAAAGTTATATATTCAAAAAAGTTTCTTCTCCAGCTTATAGAAAACTGTTCATAAAATCCTTTGGTTACATGCACTTTTAAAATTTCTTACCTTAGAGGTTTTAAATTTAAAATTTCACCATTGATATCCAAACGTCACGGAGGCGGTAAACAATAACATCATTCATTTTAAAGTTTAAATTAATACAATTTAAAATCATCTTGAAAAAAGATCACCACTTCAAAAACGCTATTTTTGACAGCATCTGGGAAATGTTTGTCATATTGACAATGTGTGGTTGACATCTCCGATAAACAGACTTAATTACAAAGACTAGTATAGCTCAGGGATGTTTAAATTGTTTTGATAATTCGAATTATACAATCGAAATATACTGCGATGATTCAGTCAGTATTTATAACATTATATTGGCTGTAGACAAGAAACCTCTTTCCTAGCTTCGTTTTATTTCTTACTCATATTTTCCGTCCGTGGGTTATCTCTCTTATCCTCTCTCTAGTCATAGTTGTAGTTTAACTAATTAATAAGTAATAGCTAAATTAGTTATGTTAGTAGATGAAAATGTCGATGGAAGACAATGCACTGCGAGATTTGACAAGGTAGTATGTAATAACTTGGCAAATAAATTATTGCATTGGTGGCAACACTTCAATCTGAAACATTAATAGTACAGACAATTCGATATATATTTTTTTAGCTCATTAACACAACGCCATCTAGCCTTAAACTAACCCAAGCTTGTACTATAGGTACTAGACAACTGATATAAATACATAAATACTTTTTTTTTGTAAATACATACATACTACAGAAACACCCAGACAAAATTAAACATTATATGTTCATGCACACAAATGTTTGACTTGAGCGGGAATCGAACCCGAGACCTTTAGACAGTCCGTTACACAACCACTACGCCATGATTATTGAACTGGAAAGTATCGTAAAAACGGACACTAGAACACAAAGTTATGAATGGTACTCATAAAAAGTAATCAAAAAACTGGAAACTCTATTCATTTCTTGGATCTCAAGGTGTTGCTGCCAATATTAATAATATACAATAAATATCATATCAAATATTGTTTTTAGGTAATAAAACTAGTCATATAATTTGTAGAATTAATAATAAAAGTGTAGACATACTCGTAGATGTTGCAATCAATGATCTTCCAGTTGAATATTGCTCGAGTTTCTTGCTCAATATGACACCAGATATTTAGTATTAATTTGTTAGTTGATAGTGATACTGTTAATAGCAATAAAACCGACCACATCATAGTTACACTGTGGAAAATAGTGACGTATCGATAAAGTCCCTCACCCTGACCAATTAGGTTCCAAACTTTCGTACGAAACGATAATTTCTTGTAACCCGATTAGACAGAGGGCGGGGCTTGATCAATGCGTCACTATTTTTTTAATGCGAATGGACTATAAATGCAGTATACCTACTGTTTTTAATTTTATTTAGTCATTGTCCTATTAGCAATATTAAATAAATCAATCTACAATATGCTTTGCTGTAAAATTGGATGTAAATAATTTGTTAGTATTTAATGCGTCTTTTAACGTCGACTGTTTGTCGAGCCTGTAGTTAATAAGTAAAAAGTATATATTTTAGTTTGCTCAACTTGTGTCATTCGGCTCAATGTAAATTTATTTAAGCAATACTGATATTAACGAAACAATAATATTAGAAATCTGTCTTATGCATCTATTGTTGTATATTATATAAAATAAATTTGTAAATATAAAAATTATAACAGGGTTCCTTGTAAGAATCCGTTTAACAGTTTTATCATAGTACTGTTAGCTACTCTTAATATAAATATATAATAAAATTAGACGTTTTGTCTATCTATCTGTAAAATAGATAGAAAATAAATATAAATAAACCATAAGAGATATTATTCATTATCCGGCTTGAAATGTTTTAGTACTTGCTGGTTAGCTAATGTTCCAAATAAATATTTCTTTTATAAACTTCTGTATATTATAAAGACTATAAATATGTTGGTACTGTACATATCTTGATAAGTATTAGCAAACTTAATAATATATGAAATATTCTTTGGTCATCTGATGTCTGGTTCTCATCGAAGGGAAGGCTCAATAACAACCATAACAACACATCTAAATTGAATTATATTTACCAATTAAACCACCGAATACAGTTAGTTAGTAGTTACTTTAAACGAATCCATTCTTATCACAAGCATTTAACTAAAGAGTTTAAAATTTGTAAGTCACAATGAATAATACAAAACTAATAAAAAAAATAATTAATACTCCCTTCCAATTGGATAATTGGCGCTCCACCACTGTGCGCTTTTCAAGACACTTTTTGCCTCGCACTACCAATCTGTGGAACAAGTATTCGGCTGCGGTATTTTCGGACCGATATGACCTTCAAACCTTCAAGAAAAGAGCGTACTCCTTCCTCAAAGGTTGGCTACGCGCTTTAGACTCCTGAGTTGCAGGCGTTCATGGGCGGCGGTAGTCGCTTTCCATCAGGTGACCCGTCTGCTCGTTTGCCCCCTATTCCATAAAAAAAATAAGTTACGCCAAAATATCTTTTTTGATCCTAATAACCACGATGGCTATATTAGTCTTCATATTTCAATAAAAATGATATCCTTAAGAGAGTATCTTCTTTTTAAGATATCATGTAACAAAATCCGCTTTTTGCAAAAGCCATTTAATTGAACTATGTAAATTTACAATAAGTAACACTAAGATCAAAGACAAAAAAGTGTTAATGTTCTCAAGAATAACCAACGTTAAAAGTAAAGTAAAGGTTATTCTTAAAATGTAGCAAAAAAGTGTAAGAATATGTGCATGGATTTCTAAACTTAAAGGCGATGTGACTTGTAATGCCTAGTCCAAAGACAAGCTTTTCAGGCCAGTCAGGCCAAGCTAGGGCTTTGGTCATCTCGATTCCGTCATAACCACTTCGCCGAGTGCTTGGTGAGTTGTAACCATAGGGTTTCGTATGCTAATGCATATGAGGAATAAAAGCTTTACTAGCCTATGTTAGTGTCAGCTATAATAGCTAATATTTAAGCTATGAATGTATTAAGTGTTGTTATTGATTCTTTCTGGAGTAATGTAAAGGGTGTAAGGGACATCGTAACGAATACTAAAATAGTGTATTCAGACCATCATTCTGAATCTAAAGTCATTGGAATTTTCTGCCGGAAAATTAAACTTTACAAAGGTAAAGGTCATTTTCCGTTGATATCGCACAAAGGTAATAACTACGTGTGTATTCCGTGCAAACAGTCTACGCACACTAACAGAAGTTGCCAGCCGGAGGGGAGGCCCCGCGTGCTTCGGCTGTTTGATTAATTACATTGCAATTTTTCACCGTATGCGGTATTTATTAAGGTGTTTTCGGTAAAATATTCTGTTTACTCATTTCACAATGAGCACACAGAATATTTTAACATATCATTAGAAAAAAAAACAATAGAAAATTAATTAAATTTAAAAAAAATGATGAATTTTCCGACAGAAAACTCCAAAGATTTTCGACTAAGAATCATAGTCTGAATACACTATTTCAGTATTCGATACGATGTCCCCTATACCCTGTATATCATGAGAATTATCACTTTGAGTAGTGTTTGACTTTCTATGCGAAATTGTGATGCTGATTAAAATATATTCTGTTTTTACATTTATTCGTTTTATTCAACACCCCTCTTAGTTGATATTGTTGATACCTTTTTTGGGGGCAAACGAAGAGATTTGTCTGCGGGGCCTCAATTCTGCTATTTTATGTTCACGCCAAGCCACTGTCATACCACTGACACGCTATTGAGATGCTATCGAGTGGCCATTGACATCGGTATAAATATCGGTAGTCTACACTCACTAAACAACAACAAAAACAGTAACGATAATTCTATTAATTACGGTGTATTATGTCGTTATAGTTTATACAT